GTATCTATTTCTAGAACACTTTCCTCATCTTAGAATCCTAGGCAGATTCTAAACAGAAAACTCTGCCCATTAAACAGTAACTCTCCTGGTGTCTGGTAACCTCTATTCTACCTTCTAATCCATGAATTTGCCTATTCTTGTACCTCACATAAGTTGCATCATGTAATATTTGTCCTTTTGTGTCAGGTTTATTTCTCTCAGTGTAATTTTTTTTTCAAGATTTTATTTATTTATTTGACAGAGATCACAAGTAGGCAGAGAGGCACACAGAGAGAGAGAGAGAGAGAAAGAGAGGAGGAAGCAGGCTCCCTGCTGAGCAGAGAGCCCAATGCGGGGCTCGATCCTAAGACCCTAGGATCATGACCTGAGCCGAAGGCAGAGACCTTAACCCACTGAGCCACCCAGGCGCCCCACTCAGTGTAATGTTTTTAAAGTTCATCCATAATCAGAATTTCACTCCTTTTTATGGCCGAATAATGTTCCCTTGCATGAATTACTATATTTTGTTTATCCATTCATCTGTTGATGGGCGCTAGAGTTGTTTCCACCTTCTGAATATTGTGAATAACGTAGCTGTGAATATGGGTGTGCATTGTATCTGTTTGAGTCCCTGCTGATTCTTTTGGGTATGTATGCAGATGTGGAATTGCTGGATGTATAGCTTCGTGTGGAACTGCTAAAGATTCCTAGCAGCACCACTTTGCATTCCTACCAGCATTGCACAAGGGTTCCAGTTTTTCCACATCCTCCTCAACATCCTCAATTTGTTATTTTCCATTTTTTGGATAATAACCATCCTAATGGGTGTGTCAAAAAATTTTTTAACATCTACTCTGATAAATGTTGGATGACTCAAAAGTGCTACTTACTATTGTGAGGAGCCAGTTCCCTTGAGTTAACCAACTAAATGGGAACAGTTAACCAACTAAATGCCTTAAGCCAATGGCTTATAAAAGGGGAGCTGTAGGGATTTGAGCCATCATATATATAGTATCTGCTTTTTCATAAGACATTTTCATTTATAGTTTATATTTTTCAACCTTTGAAAAAAATGTGGTCTCTCGGGAATTAGCTGAAACTCTCAGTTTCAGAAGAGGCAAAATTTGGGGGCTCTTGGATGTGTGTAAACTGCATGGGGCACTCTGGTCAGCTCTTGGGTGTGGCTTTCAAAGTTTGGATTAATGGCTTAAGCAGTCCCAGGGATGAGCTTTTATAAAAGTCCTTTGGTCTTACCTGTCATCTTACTTCACCTTTTGCCTTGCCTAATGTACATAGTAAGCCTCAACATATTTTCAAGTGGAGAACCAAAAAATCCAGGGAAGGACCTGGTAGAAAAGGCTATATGAAAGATATTGAGCTGTGGCCATCTTCAAATGATACCATTACTGCTCATAAATCAGTCATTTGCTCCATATTACTTGTAGGGGAGGAAAACTTTTCCTCTCTTCCCTTCTAGGTTCTTTGGCTGGTTTGATATAATTAAATTGACACAAGGCAGATTAACAGGAGAAAAACAAATTATTTTAATTTTATATGTATGGGAGCTCATCAAAATATGAAATTCAAAGAAGTGACCAAAGTAGGCAGCTTTTATATCTTTGAGACAAAGAGGCAACAAATCCGTTAAGAGTTGAAAAGACAAAGATGTTTGGGCTTGGGGTACCAAATTAATGAAGAAATAACAAGGTTTATTTATATAGCCTTCTTTGCCCTGAATTGCCTATCTCTGGCAGTAAGGATGCTTTCTATCTCCCAGATGCAGGGAGGGTACCTCTCACATGGAGAAATTTATTTCTTGGTTTCAGGGTAACAGGAAAGGTCAGAGTGTCTTTCTTGCACTAGCTCTTTCTTGAGTAACTTCAATTAAAAATAATATGTGAGGGTGGCATATTGGGGCAGCCTGCCCTGAGCTAGTTTCCTGTTAACAGTATTTTCCTGTGCCTAGGAGCTGTTGTTGAGTTGAATGAGCCCAGGTACAGAAAATCTGTTGGCATATATTTCTGACAGACAACAGTCTTCTCTCCCTTGAAAAACCCACAAAACTGTATTGAGAACTGGTGAGCCAGAGCTGTGAAAAAAAGGAATTCATGGGATTCGTGGGTAGCTCATTCCTACTGGGATAGGGTCCCATGTTGGGCTCTCTGCTCAGCAGGGAATCTGCATCTCCCTCTGCCTCTCCTTCTGTGCGGGCTTTCTCTCAAGTAAATAAAAATCTTCAAAAAAAAAAAAAGGAATTCATAACTAGGGAAATTGATTTAGCCTTTCCTTTAGGGTGTTGTGGGTTTTTTTGTTGTTGTTTTTAATAACACTAGTCTTGGGATCTGCTTGAGGGCAGGGTAGAGGATTTTAAGATCAAGTAAGTTTGGGAAATCATACCTGTTCTAGTCACCTATTGGTGATTAATAATGCACATTAGCACCTAGCACCTTAAGGTTTGCAAGAAGCCTTACGTAGAGTCAGTATATCTGTTTTATTTAATGTGGTGTTTTCCAGATCTCTTAACCCTTTTGCTGAATAACCATTTAACATTCCTTAGAACAAATATTTCTTAGGGTACATATTGGGAAAGTAGACTATTGCTTTTAGTGTGCATGACTTTAATATCAAAGTTTTGAATAAAATATGGGTATTCTTGAGCCCAAAGAAGTGTGAAGGCATTCTGAAGAGCCAGTTGTTACACTTTGCTCTTGTTGTTTGGCCATCTAAATATCAGTGTACCTTTGTATTTGGCTCCCTGGTATAGGAGATGATTTGGGAGCAGTGTATCATTATGGAAGATTCTCTGCAGTGGTAATTGCTGTAGAAACCTTTATTCTTTATTCTTTTTTCTTTTCCTTCCACTTTTTTCTTTTCCTTCCACTTTCGTTGTTCATGGTCTTTCACAATGAATGTTTGGAGTGGTACCAGGCATTTTGGAAAATGGGTGCAAAACCTTGAAGATAAAGATAATTGGTTGTGACCTTGGGTCATCAGTTTTAGAGAATTAAAAGACCTTCTACTGCTTAGGGTAGCATTGGCCCTTCACTCATCCTGTTTGCTGCTACCTGAGAGACTGGGAGAAGCAACTAAGGACCTTTAACTATCCCAGGAAGATGTGCTCCACTCTTCACATGGTGGATACCCTCACCTTGGGAATTGGTGTCTATAAAACATTCAGCCTTGCTGCCAATAGCTGTCACAGATGTCGAGTTTCTGAGATGGATGAGCTGTGGAACAAAAAAGCATTGCCAAAATGTACCTATTGATAATCATCACTTTTTATTTTATTGGTACATCCTAATTTAATATCTCATTCAATTCTCATAACATCCCTTTTATAGTTGAAGGAGAATATTTGTGATTCCTCAGTAGGGTGCTAAGACACAAACTTAAATAACTTGCTCAGATTCATAAGCCTGCTTAGTTTTAATTACGGGATCAAAACTGGATTCCAGGTCTCCTGTCAAGTGCTCCAAACAAGTGCTCTTTTTGCTAACTGCATTGACAACCTAGTTTCGAGGTCAAGTGTTTAAATTAAAAAATAATAATAATAAAAGGTTTCTCCTGCTCTGCAAAAGTAGAGTGCTCCTATGAAACCTTTCAAAAGCCGAAATGGCATAAAGTGGAGAAGCACTTACCATTAATTACGTGGAAAATTTTTTGAGCGTTCCCAGGCTCAGGGTATAACCTCTCATAGGATTTTCTGATACCTTAGGATACACCTAGCTAATGCATGCACAAAATAAATCGGTATAAAGCACAGATGTTCATAGACACAGTTCAGACCTGTGGCAGCTTGGTGCTGCGATGTGGGCTGGTTCCTGGGGAAGGAGCTGGGCAGGGCATTTGTTCCTCTGCTTGGGATGTGTTCTGTCTCTTCAAGGGCCCCAAACACAACAAACACTTAACACTATTTTTACCTATTTTCATAAAAACAAAAATCCTCTTTGGATTTCCTTCAGTTAGCAAAAATAGATACCAGGGTAGGTCTTTGTAAAAGCGAAGTGCTGTAACATGGACTTCAAAAAGTGGGGTTACCTCTATTTGCATTTGTATATTATGGTATTTTATGGCTTAGAAAATTCGGTGGCTAGGAAACTAGTATTATTAATAGTATTGTGTTCTTTCTAGAAATGAGAAAAATGAGGCCTAGAAAGATTGACCTACCCAGTGTTACGTAGTTTGCAAGTGAGAGCTGCGACTAAAACTTAGCTCCTTTTTTGTCCAGTGTTTTCCCAGATCAACCAAGCTGTTGGTAGATGGTGTCTTTAGTTGATGACAATAAGTATTTGTTTAATAGAACTTAATCTTTTTGCGAAGTCTTCAGCCCTGTTGCTTAGTAAAGGTAAACTTAAGATTTTAGAGAGTATTAGACTTTTCTCTCATATCCAGGCTATAGACCAGGATTATACTGACCCACTTCATTGAATGCATCACTTGAATCACGCACCTTTTTGAAGTTGAAGTAATAGGTCTAGAAAAGGTAGGTGACTGGGGATGCCTAGATGGTGCAGTCAGTTAAGCATCTGACTCTGGATTTTGGCTGAGGTCATGATCTCAGGGTTGTGAGATCTAGCCCCACATCACTCAGATTCTCTTTCTTCTTCTCCCTCTGTCCCTCCCCACCCTTAAAGGAAGAAATGAAGGGAGGAAAGGAGGGAGGGAGGAAGGGCAACTGATCTTGTTTCTCACAGGAATCAAGGGAAGAATTAGGACTGAGAGTGTATGTCAGCAGTAGGATCAAGGCATGAGGCCACATAAGGAGGAACTGGACCAGCATTGGCCTTTGTCAGGAGCCTAAACTATAGCATGGGATTGAAATGCATAGTTAATTCTGTTCGTAGGCTCTGCCTGGGCACTTGATGATGTTTCCTAGGCCAGAACAGCAAGGTAGGAATGACAGCCCACCAGAAGGGAGAGCCTAGCAAAGATCCAGGAAATAGAAGTGGTTGTCAATTTACCCATCTAATTATGTGGAACAGTTATTGAATCTTGTTGATAGTCTCTTTCTTGTTCTGCAGAGACCTTTGAAATTGATGTAACACTCTGACCCTCCAGTCCAGATGTATTAGGTATGGAGCAGCTCAGCTTAAATTGGCTCTTTACATCAGTCTACGAAAGAATATTGCAACTAGACTGAATGAGAGCAAGGTGCTGAGTGTAGGTCAGTGGTTCTCAAATTTTAGGGAGAGTCAGAATCACTTAGAGGACTTGTTAAAACACTTAACTGGGAGAAGAGTTTCTGCTTTAGTTGGTCTGGGCTAGAGCTCAAAATTTTGTAGTTGTAACACAATCCAAGTTGATACTGATTCTGCTGGTCTTGGGATCACACTTTGAGGACCACTGATGTAGAAAAAGATGATAAAGTGGGTATAGCTGTTTAGTCCCCCTTAATTAAGGCCTTCGCAGAGGAGGGAAAGGGAATTAACATTTAAATTTAAGGCTCTACCACAGTCAAGACTCTGTGGAGGTGATTTACAATCATTATTTAATCCTTGAAACCCCTTTGTGGAGTATTTTCCTATTTCCCCTCAACATAAACATGTTAAAAACTTGTTGGAATAATTCCTTTTTTAACATTTTTAAAAAGATTTTATTTATTTGTCAGAGAGCAAGAGAGCAAGCGCACAAGCAAGGGGAACAGCGGGCAGAGGGAGAAGCAGGCTCTCCACTGAGCAAGGAGCCTGACGGAGACTTGATCCCAGGACTCTGGGATCATGACCTGAGCCAAAGCAGACACTTAACTGACTGAGCCACCCAGGCACCATTGTTGATTTTTATGTATTCATTACTCTTCTTCTTTTTCTTTTTTTTTTTTTTTAAGGTTTTATTTATTTGTCAGAAAGACAGAGAGAGTACAAGCAGGCAGAGTGGCAGGCAGAAACAGAGGGAGAAGCAGGGTCCCCATGGAGCAAGGAGCCCAATGTGGGACTCAGTCCCAGGATGCTGGGATCATGACCTGAGCAGAAGGCAGCCTCTTAACTGACTGAGCCACCCAGGTGTCCCTCTTGTAGATATATAACAGATTTAAAATGTGGGTTAATTTTGCAGGAATGATTATGCAATACATGGAATTAAATATTGAGAATACTTTCTCATGCAGAACATAAAGTGAATGGGAGCTTTACTTTAACATTACATACATCTTTCAGATCACAGGAAAAGATAGACCTCAGGTAATTTTGTCAGGGTGTTGTTTTTTTTTTTTTTTTTCTCTTTTAATGTTGCCAATTGGTTATTGACCTGTCCTTTTTTAGAAACAGAGGAATGGTGAATTTCAGAATAGTTGGTACTAAGAAATGACCAAATTCTTGAGATTGCAACCATTAAGCCTTACTCTTCTAAAGTGTTCTTTGTTAATGTCATTTTTGAAAGGTCAGCTTGTTTTTAATGGTGCTCAGTGAAGTTACTTTGTGTTGTTGTTTGACAGATTCACACAGAAATACTAAAAAATAAATAAAAAGCACTGATCCAAACGTTTGAATTGAAGGCATTCTGGGAAAACCTGCCTTTTATTGTGAAAATCATCTTTGATCTTGAAATTAAAAGTAAAGCTGGAAAAGAATTTACAAACGAGGAAAAAACAAAGTTTGGGATCGGACTCAAAGGATCTGGGCTTGGAAATGCCTCAGGTAAATCATACAGAGTAGGTGCAAAGTTTTATATTTTCCCACTGCAGAAAGTCCATACTATTGGTTCTGTAAGTTCTCTGAATCTTAACACAGCTTGACAAACTCCCTTTTTAAGACATTTTATTTCTGATCTCAGCTAGTTTTGAATACATGTCTGTCCTTCCATTGCTTCTGTTTCCTCCTTTGCTACACTTTGAAATTTAATGAGCTTGACATGGGGAAATGTGGTGAATGAAAATTTGGTTAGAAGGGGGGGCCAGATCTGCTGGCTTTAAGGAGGCTCACCCAACTCCCCTGAAAATTAATCTGCCACAGAAAGCCCACTTCCATCTCCTTGTCTGCTTCCTGTTTCCCAGTTATTCCTTTATTCCTTTCCATTTATGCCTTTTGAATTTAAAAGTAGTTAGGAGGAAATGGTGAGAGATTTCAACCTTTCTCTTTCATATATACACATATACTCCCCATACATATATATACTTTTCAGAAAAGGTTACTGAGAATGATTAGACCTATTTATATTATGGTAACTACTTTGAATTGATCAGTCCTGGTTTGAGGCAATCTCTGAAGTAAGAAAAGAAGCCCTGTTTTTCCCCACTGCACATCCAGACTTCTTCCTGTCCTCCTCCAATGGTTAGCTCTTACCCTCTTCCCTCTTTGGGTTCAGTGCTGAGGAGAAACGCAGAAATAAGGAGAGGGCAAGGACTCTTAGGTGGCTTCATGTAGGGCCAGGCAGAATTATGCCTTGAGCACAGAAAATAAGCACCTTGCTGGGATTATCCAGTGGCTCAGAGGCAGGCAGCAGAGGCAAAGAAAGGGGATTTGCTAGTTGATATTAAGAAGACCAGCGGCCTAGCTCCACCCCAATCTCCTGGCCAAGTGGATTACACATACTGATTGGGAGTTCTTTCCCATTTAGAGTTTAGTTTGCTGCTTGTGGACTACTTGAAGTTAGAGCTATAACACACTTACTTTGAGCTTGCAGCCTGGTAGGGTTGGGGAAAATTAGAGAAAGAAAAGACTGGATTGGGAAGTGCCAGTGAAGAAAAACATGATAGGAGAGCATGTAAGAAGGCCAGTTTGTGGTAGGTAGAAGGTATATGAATAGAGAAATGTAAGCAAATAGATTAATAGAATTTTTTAAGTTTTTAAGAACAAAATGGCAAAGAGGGAATTTTTATTCTTTCATATCCTCTTCCTTCATCGAAGTTAGATTTCAGAGTGAGGCCTTTCACTTGTTTGGGCTGCTTTATGAGTGTGGGCCCTGACTTCCTTCTGGAGTGATTTGTATAGATGTTGAAATGGAAAAGTGGGTTGGAGAGAAAAGAAGGAGCATCAACTCTTGGTGCCAAGTCTTTTTCCCCTTATTTATTAAAGAATGACTTGTACCCTTTTCTGGGATCAGGATTAAGGCTGCTGAGCTCATGCCCAAGTTTCTGGTCTCACCAGTAAGATTTTGAGATATTTGGCTGATCCTGTATCTTCATCATCACATTCCTGGAGGCATTGGTTGCACTAAAGGTGCCCAAATTGTCTTCCAGATTGTTTGTGGAAATAAAACACTGGAGTCACTTAGGAGTACAGAATGAGACCAACTTGCTATTTCTGCAGACCCCAGGAAATAGGAGGGAGTGCTCAATATTGGGAAGATAGAAGAGGAAGTGTTGTTACAGATGGGTTTGAAGAAATGTCATATAGCCGAATAAAAGTACTCATTAGGAAGTGAATGCTGATTCTAGTGGCTGAATAAGTTTTAGTTTTTAGAAGTTAGGCTTTAGTAACAGTTGCCACTCTTTTTTTATTTTTAGTGCATCTTCATTATTTTCCTAATTTAAGTTCACAATGTAAAGCTAGTTAAATCTCTCAAATGTGCTAAAGAGTAGAAAATATACAGAATTGTTGTAAAACTAAGAAGTTAGTAGGTGTTGGAGTTATGTGTAATAAATTGGTCTTGGAGTAGTCTTTAACTTTCTAAAGTTAAATCATTCTGTTGTAGCCTAGTGTAAGCGGAATGGATCCGCCTTTTGGGGATGCCTTTCGAAGCCACACCTTTTCAGAGCAGACTCTGATGAGCACAGATCTCTTAGCAAACAGTTCAGATCCAGATTTCATGTATGAACTGGTAAGTAACATTTTCTTGGATTCTGCTTTAAGTTATTTGGGGTAAAAATATTGTGGTGTAGTTTTTTTTTTTTTAATTTATAAATGCCTGAAAAGGAAAAAGGATGTCAAGTTTGATTTTTTGACCGTCAGTCTAGTAATTTTAGAAGGCTTTATGAACCCATTGAAAAATAGTAAGAGCAGGGGAGGTGGGTGAGGGGATGGGTGAAACAGGTGAAGGGGATTAAGAGTACACTTACCATGATAAGAACTGAGTAATGTGTAGAATTGTTGGATCACTATATTGTACACCTGAAACTAAAATAACACTATATGTTAATTACATTGGAATTTTAAAATATGCATATGATTATAAAAGTAATTATTTATATATAAATACATGCACACACACATAAAAGAAAATAGGAGGGAAGAGTTATCTAAATATCTTCCAGTTCAGTTTTTGATGATGAGGATGGGAAGCTGTCTTTTTTGATATGCCGGACTGCTAAAGAACTCTTCAACTGGGATATTTAGGAATGATAACATTGAGCAAAGCATATGACACAGAGAATATGAGGTAAAAATAGCAATTCCAAGCAGTATACTTACCACTTATTCCCAAGGTAAATAGAAACCTAAGATTCCTAAGAAGAACATTTAAAAAATAATTTTAATTACATACAGCTTAAGCAACATGGAAGTATATAAAAACTGCAAGACTAAATATACAAATCTGTTAATTTACTGAAAATCATTGAATTGTACACTTAATACAGGTGAATTTTGTGGTCTGCAAACTGTACTTCTTTAAAGCTCTTAGAACACAGAGACACACACCCATAAGCAAAAACGAAGCAAGAAAGCCCCCACACAAATGCAAAAATCAAAACAAACTGGAAAAATGAAAATGTCCTCATTTCCTTCCTGAACCTCCACCTTCTAAACCTTTTCCCCAAAGATAAGTACTCCTAACAGAGTCCTTCTGTTCATATATAAATACATGAGTATTTTAAGTTGGATGACACATTCATAGATACTGTATACTGTAACTTAATCCTTTTAATGTAAAGACATCTGGTAAGCAGCCTCTCTTTCTAGTACATTAGACTTTAACTGCATTCTTTTTAATGGCTGCATGGTCTCACTAACACATTTTTAAAATCCTATCTCTGTCACACTCGTGAGGAGTATTGTAGTCCCCATGCCCAAGCGCTGTTAACCAGGTCTAATCAAAGATCTTACCCTTCTGTGGTGGAATTTCAACTCCTCTTTGATTTGCTCTTTGCCTCTATATTTAAGTTCTCACTTCAGAAGACAGGTTCTTCTGTGATGAAGGTAAGGTCTTCATTATTTGCTTTTAATTGAAGCTTGTTTCAAAGGAAATCCTCAAATTTTTCTAAGTTAAAGATCAAGAAACGTAAACCTTTTTGAGAAAGAGTGTTTGTAGTAAAGTTCAAGAGTCCTTGATATTTAGACCAAACCTAAGCCTCTCGAGGGGCATATTTTCCCTTTGTTTTCCTTGTCCAAGAAAATGATATTATATGGACTGGTAAAGTGACATGTAAAGAGCCTTTATCTTAAAATAAAACAGACCAGAGGTCAAATACTGACTTGTCATTTTGGTGCATGGATGTGAGGATGGAGGTGAATATTTCTTTCCTAAAATATGGTGTGTGATTTTTTTTTTTAACTTTTCTCAGGATAGAGAGATGAACTATCAACAGAATCCTAGAGACAGCTTCCTTTCTTTGGAGGACTGCAAAGACATTGAAAATCTGGAGTCTTTCACAGATGTCCTGGATAATGAGGGCGCTTTAACCTCAAACTGGGAACAGTGGGATACGTACTGTGAAGACTTAACAAAGTACACCAAGCTAACCAGCTGTGACATCTGGGGAACAAAAGAAGTGGATTACTTGGGTCTTGATGACTTTTCTAGCCCTTACCAAGATGAAGAGGTCATAAGTAAAACTCCAACTTTGGCACAGCTTAATAGTGAGGACTCTCAGTCTGTTTCTGATTCCCTTTATTACCCTGATTCACTTTTCAGTGTCAAACAGAATCCCTTGCCCTCTTCATTCCCTAGTAAAAAGATCTCAAGCAGAGCGGCTGCCCCTGTGTGTTCTTCTAAAACTCTTCAGGCTGAGGTTCCTTTGTCAGACTGTGTCCAAAAAGCAAGTAAACCCACTTCAAGCACACAGATCATGGTGAAGACCAATGTGTATCATAATGAAAAGGTGAACTTTCATGTTGAATGTAAAGACTATGTAAAAAAGGCAAAGGTAAAGATCAACCCAGTGCAGCAGAGTCGGCCCTTGCTGAGCCAGATTCACGCAGACGCAGCAAAGGAGAACACCTGCTACTGTGGTGCAGTAGCAAAGAGACCCGAAAAGAAAGGGGTGGAGCCTCTTCAGGGTCACGTCACTCCAGCTTTGCCTTTTAAAGAAACCCAGGAACTGTTACTCAGTCCCCTGTCCCAGGAGGGTCCTGGTTCAATTGCAGCAGGAGAGAGTAGCAGCCTTTCCGCCAGCACATTGGTCTCAGATTCATCCCAGAAAAAAGAAGAGCACAATTACTCCCTTTTTGTCTCTGACAACTTGGGTGAACAGCCAACCAAATGCAGTCCTGAAGAAGATGAGGAAGATGAGGACGATGTTGATGATGAGGACCATGATGAAGGATTTGGTAGTGAGCACGAACTTTCTGAAAATGAGGAGGAAGAGGAGGAGGAAGAGGATTATGAAGATGACAAAGATGATGATATTAGTGACACTTTCTCTGAGCCAGGTATGGTAATGCTTGGAGGCTTACCAAACTGACCTTTCTCCTGTCTTTAGATATGGGTGTTTCCTTTGCCTTAGTTTGGGGATTAAATGACTTACTATCTTGGCTCAAATAAGTAATTGCTTTTTTTCTATTCAGGCAGCTCTAAAATAATCACTTTTGCTCATATAGTGATTCATAGGCTGATTCTTCGAGGGCTTCTTCTTAATTTATGTTAAGAGACTAATTTGTTACTCTCTGAGCAGCTGTGCAAAGATGCCAAGAATTGATTTAAAAATATTTCTATTTATGTACATGTCCCTATATTATAGTTGAGGCAAGTTTAAGAGTGCCCCAGTGGTAAACCAAGTGATGGTGCTTTATATTACTCATGCTTATAACCAACAAGACCTACTTCCTGAATAATGTAAAAAAAAAAAAAAAAGAGCTTTTTGTGTCTGTCCCATCTTTCATTCACACAGTTTTTTTCCATTTAAGAAAAATACATGCTGTAATTTAATGAGCATGAAGGATACTCTGCTTTTTTTTTTTTTATACACAGCACATATAAATAAAAGGGAAGAAGAAAATGAAACCTGTGGGAATTGATTCGCTTCATTCAGCATTTACATGCTTGAGCTGTTGCCACTGTTGGCTTGTGCAGTATTTATGAAAATGGTATTGCCAAGTGGCACACAGTTTAAAATGCACAAAGAAGTGAAGATCTTAAAATTTAAGCAAAAGTTGTTTTCTTCAAAAATAGTGTTGATGCTGTAACTTGTATGTAAAAAAAACTAAGTTATTTTTAAAACCTTAGAAATTGCAAGAGCGCTCTTTTGTTATAATTGCTGGAATTTCTGGCAGTATGAAGATTGGTATTTAATTTTCAGAAAGGTTTATAAGCTGTAGTAGATATATGGTATAGCTGGCGAAGCACTATTATTGCTAGAAAAAAGACTTTGCTTTAGTGAAATCTTTCTATTACACAAATGCTTGGATTTGTTTTATTTGATACAACCAAATTTGACTCAGGTGGAGTTTCAAGTAAGGAAAAAGTACTTTAATCCGGAGGAAAAGGGCTTATGCCTTTTTTTGGTTTACTTTAGAACTCTGCATAGTCTAGATAGAACAATTATTTTTTCTGCTTAGCAGGAAGATTTTTCTCTCAACAACTTAATAAAATTTGCTTTGAGGGGCACTTGGCTGGCTCAGTCAGTAGAGAGCATGTGACTCTTGATCTCAGGGTTATGAGTTCAAGCCCCACGTTGGGTGTAGAGATTACTTTAAAAAAATCTGCTTTGAGGTGTTTCAGGAAAAGTTGTGTTTGTAGCTAGTGGTAAGTTCTATAGCTCCCTGCCATGGTAAGCCCAGACTGCTGTCTATGAGTAGTCTTCAAGGTCTGACCAATCAGCCCTATCGCTTTGAGTTCCATATTTAGGATCAGGGTAGGAGGGTAGGGGAAGGGTGAGACAAAGGGAAGATGGGTAATAACTTTAGGGAAATGGAAAATGTAGAGAAGGAGGGGTTTGTCCCAGTAGATGCTTAAAGAAACATGTAAGTCAGAAGGAGTCAGTAAATCCTGCCATCACCAAGGACTATGCTGTCTACCCGACTTCTGGTTGTAGTTTTGCTTTTATCTTGTAGTGTGTTTTTACCTGGATAAGTGTGTTGAGAGATGACTAGGTCTGTGAAGAGAGATCACTTAGTAAGTTGACCCTCATTTGCATTTTGTCAACCTTTTAACTCTCATGGGTGGGAGAGGGGAACCAGTGTTATAGCTGGTGTTGTCCTGTCATGCCACATTCCCTTGCCTTGTCTTCTCTAGAAGAATCCTGTTGTGTGAGCTTGTTGGTGGTAACCAACACTACTTTGAAACAGGGATGCATTGGCTGGGTAAAACTCTCCTCTTGACTCTGTTTAACAATGCTGAATGTTTGGATGGCATTTAATTCACTCCCTTCTAGTTGACCTGAAGTAAAGCCTCTTTGGTTAGTATTACTTGGCCAGTTCTCACAAATGTTAATGAATGACATGATTTAACCACAAAATCAACACAATTCTGTGGTATTATTTGGGCTCTATTCATATTTGCTAATGAAAATTTCCCTTTTTCTTAGAAGAAAGAGCTAAACAAGTGACTTCAGGAACACAGAAGTGAATTATTGGTGGGAAGCAGGAAGAAATTCTTTTGAAGCAGAAAAGTGAGGATAGTTACGGTTTCTTCAGAGTGCTAGTTTTAGAGTGGGTTGATTGGTTTAATTTGCAGCAGTTTACAAAGGCCCTTTTGTGATGACTAGCTCCCTTGATGCTGTTTCTTGGCAGTTGGCTACAACAGTGCCTGAGCCTACAAAGCTCCAGGAAAGGTGTAAAATGGAGTTTCAGTCCCTTCTCTGGCCTCGCTCCCAAGTTTTAATAGAGCCTATTCTGTGGACAGGCTCTGACTGTTTGGGGTCATTGGGATTACATGGTGTAATACTAAGAATTGGGCCCCCAGAATGAAAGTTTATTTTGTAATCTGTACTAAACATTTTCATGATTGACTTTACCAATAGTCTGCACTAACCAAAGATGTATGGTTAGAATTTGACACAATAAATGTAGCTTTTTTGACTTACATTTGATAATCATGTCAGATAAGCCCAATAGAAGCTAGACTCCTTGTGTCATGGGACTTGAGTCAGTTCTAGCTCTGCCAAATCACTTAAAGCCTCCATGAGCATGTTTCTTTTTATAAATGGGGTTAATGATACCTTTTTTACTGGGCTGTCAGAAGTTTCAAAGTATCTGTAAGTGAAATATATAAGTATATTAAATGAAAAGGACAGTGTTTTGCCAGAAGTCCAGGCCACCTGAGGAGGGTTGCTAAATTGGGGAGAATATCAAAACAGTTATCAGAGTGATGGGATGCCTGAGGAAGCTGTATATGAAAAAGTTTCCTTTATGCTTTGGGCCAGGGTAGATTTAAATATGGAATACTAGTTCTTCTATTTTTTAAATTGAAGTATAATTGACATACAATATCCTCTTAGTTTCAGGTGCGCATCATAATGACTGTGCATCAGAATTACAACATGATCCCCATGATAAGTCTGGTTACTGTCTGCCACCATACAGAGGGTTGGGGTTTTTTTTTTTTACTTATTTTTTTAAGTTTTTATTTATTTTTAGTTAAGTATGGTTGGTATATAATATTAGTTTCAGTGTCTAATGTAGTGATTCAATATTTATGTACATTACAAAATGATCTCTACATTAAGTCTGGTTACCAACTGTTGCCATACAAAATTATTACATTATTGACTGTTTCCTAAGTTGTACTTTATATCTCATGACTGACTGGCTTTATAACTGGAAATTTATACCTCTTAATCCCCTTTACCTATTTTCCTCCTCCGTATCTTGTATATGGTTTGTTTTTTGTATTGTGAATCTGTTTCTGTTTTGGTTTGGTTGTTTTGTTTTTGTGGAACACCAGTTCTTGACATTGGTAGGCAGTTGGAAGTGTTTTTATTGGTCCATCTGCTTGTGTTGAGGTGGTCCCAGCCATACTAGGTTAATCTCTCTGAGCCAGTAGTTTGTTCAAGCCAGTAAGTTTTTCTTGGCCTGGTGGAGCCAAGTGTTTGGAAAATGCCATTTCTGGTGGCACCGTGTGGCCCTTGCATCTTTCCGAAAGCTAGGTTGATCACTGGAACAAGATGAAATCCTTAATTTGAAGTGTGGCATTGGCACAAATAAATAGGCCAAAGTCATTGTTTTATGTATCTAACACAAGTTCTAAAAATCTGACTTCTAGAAATGATGGTGTGACTTGTTCATCATTTCTTCATAAGAAACTAGAGTTCACTGTCACACTCCTTGCCATATTGTTTTAAACTACCACATTTGCACTTTAATGCTGTTAATACCAGCAGTTCTACAGAAACTTCTCTTGATTGTTGCCTTTGAAATCATTCTGGTCTCCAAATTGATTCTTTTTTAAAAGGTTATGTTTATTGAAGTATAGGAAGTATAAATATGAAATTCGCCCTTCTTTAAGTGTACACTTCTGTGAGTTTTGAAAAGTGCTTGTAGTGCTGGTAACCACTACCACCATCAAGATACAGGAGAGTTTCATCAACCCCCCCTAAATTTCCCTTGTGTTCCTTTATTTATTATTTTTTAAAAGTTTTATTTATTAATTTGACAGAGCAAGCAAGCAAGAGCACAAGCAGGGGAAGCAGCAGCCAGAGGGAGAAGCAGGCTCCCCTGTGAGCAGGGCCCTGGGATCATGATCTGACCTGAAGGCAGACACTTAACCGACTCCCACCCAGGCGCCCCTGCCTTGTATTTTTTTAGAGTCAGCCCTCCCTCCACTCCCAACTCCTGGCCCACCGCTTTCTAGTTTTGCCTGTAGTTTTGGCTTTTCCAGAATGCCATACAAATGGAGCTATATTTCTGCAGATACCATCACTTTTTTAGTGTCAGTTCCAGAGAAGTCATGTTTTTAGGAGGCAAAATGGTCATTCTGCTTTGTCAGTGCTACCCAAGTTTTCCTGTCCACCTTAGTGTTATATACATCCTACGTGGCGTCCATCTCCACTCCTCCTAGCAGTAATGACGTGGTGTACACTTAAGATGGGCATTCTCTGAGGGTATTTTAGATTTGTAGGTCATCCTGGTGAGGTCTGACCAACAGTTCTAGCAGCTCAAAATTAAGTTTTTTTTCTGAAACTCTCCCTTAGTAAGGAAAATAACTTCTTTAAAAAAAGTGAAGTAAATGCATATTGCTTCCAGTAAAATATTAAACTAGGCATATGTGTTTTTATTTGTGAGTCTGTGAGAGCACTCTCATTTTTATACTTTTACAAAAGGGGTAGGGTAGGAGGTAGGCAGAAAACCTATTCTATGGACAGGTTACTGCCTCACAAAACTCTGGTAGGATACAATCATAGAAATGCACACACTTGTCTGTCTGGGAGTGTTTTGGATGCATAAATTTTAGAAGGAAGGCATTTTAAATCATAGTGTAGGGTCTTAGTACCATGATCTAATGGTGCATTTGACATTCCTGGAGCTATATTTCATTATTCTCTCAGTGAGCGCCTATGTAAAGATATTTTAAAAAGATTTCCTACACTAACTCATACGAACCAGAGAGAACTATAAGGAGGATAAACAGTATAGTTACCTATGATTATTAGTCTCTGAATATTTTATGAGTTAGAGATCTCCATATTAAAAGTCATTTTATAGACCTGTCTGTTACCTTTGATATGCCAGTGATGTTTTCAGATGAAAGGAAATATATCAAGTGACAAATGGAAGAGATCTTTTTATTTGCCTTGATTGCTTTATTGAAATTTATGGACCTTAAGAAATTGGGGATGGGGGTTTTCCTTTTTTTTTTTAAGGCTATGAAAATGATTCTGTGGAAGACTTGAAGGAGATGACTTCAATATCCTCTCGGAAGAGAGGTAAAAGAAGGTACTTCTGGGAGTATAGTGAACAGCTCACCCCATCACAGCAAGAGAGGATGCTAAGGCCATCTGAATGGAACCGAGACACCTTGCCAAGTAATATGTACCAGAAAAATGGCTTACATCATGGTAAGAGGGATTTGTGGTCAAACATTTTGTGTCACTAATACAGAGATCATAAACCATGTTTCCTGTCCATGTACCTACATTCTCAGCCCTTACTAGTGAAGTGGAGAGGGGAACAGGAGAGCTGCTGTATTAGCTATCTCTGCAGAGATACTCACAAATAGCATTTACTGGTAGGGAGAGCCCTCACCTAAACAGGGAGGAAGCTCTGTGCAGAAATGATTTCTGGTCACTTCCTATTCTACTTACCCTGTCCAGGAAGGGACCAGTAGACTGCTGATTGATTGCTGACCTGCCACAGTTGCAATAGACCAAAAGGGTTGGGGAGAAAGGGAATGGGCTCCGGCATCTTTCTCTTCTGTTCTTGTCCAGTCTCCAGGCTGAAATGTAAATAGGGAGATTGGAATCAAATGGTGGTGGGAAGAAAAGAGGAAGCAGAGGAAAGTTAATAATTGTAGAGAACAGAAATGGAGAGAGAAGACTTGAATGGTAGGAGTTGGGAGAAGCTTATAATCTTAGGCGAAGTTTACCTCGGAAGATATAATTAAGTAGAATTTCTTCTTTTATTTTGTATGATCCAAAATCTGTACCGAAAGGGCGGAGAGCACTAGTAAGTTTGGTACTCAGTGAACAGTTTTAGTAATCTCTCATGCTACACATGTAAGTTGCTAAGCAATTTTTTTTTTAAGATTTTTATTTATTTATTTGACAGAGATCACAAGTAGGCAGAGAGGCAGGCAGAGAAAGAGAGGAAGAGAAGCAGGCCTCCTGCTGAGCAGAGAGCCCGATGCGGGGCTCGATCCCAGGACCCTGGGATCATGACCTGAGCTGAAAGCAGTGGCTTTAACCCACTAAGCCACCCAGGCGCCCCAGCAATTTTGTTTTGACACAGGAATTCTATCAGAAGTATATTTGTGCCTCATGGTCCCTCTGCACCGGCGCTCAGCCTGTGCTGTACTGCTCTTAGTGAATAGGCCTAGTTTGGGCCTTCACATTAGTTTTCTACGAGAAATGAAAAGACAGGTCCAGTAAATGGTAGGTAGCACATGGCCAGTACAGGAAAATTGCTTGGTATATTGTCATTCAGAAGGCCAGGCCGTCTCTGTTGCCCTCAGTGATAGGGCAAGACCCCCAAGTCTTCTGTAATGTTATTTATCAAACTAACCAAGGAAGAGCTTTCACAAAAGGCAATACTTGTTGGCCTTTTGAGTCCAGCACCAGATACATGTCTGGGAAATTTTCAGTCGCAGCATCAAAACATCTTGGTTTGAATAAAATCTGTTTCTTTTCTGGGTGTATGTTCTACCCTTGCCCTGATTTTTGGGTGCAGTGAACTTACACTCCAGTCCCGAGGTTTGTGATGCTTATTACCACTATGCATGTAATTAAGATTCTGTTATACCAGGGCTAGAAACTTTAAGGTGGAGAAGGACGTGGCAGGGACTGGAGCTGTGCCCTATTTCCCCAATTTCTTGGAGGCACAGGTGGGAAGGAGAGGAGGCCAGCCCTTTTAGCATATCATGCTGAGACTTCTGAAACATGCCAGGACTTGACGGAAGGGTGAAATGTGGTTTTAAAATATGGCTGTAGAATATATCTTTGGTGAAATAAAATGATCTAATTTAAACTTCTTTTAAACCATCTGTAGGGAAATATGCAGTAAAGAAGTCACGGAGAACTGATGTAGAAGACCTGACTCCAAATCCTAAAAAACTACTCCAGATAGGCAATGAACTACGGAAACTGAATAAGGTGATTAGTGATCTGACTCCGGTTAGTGAGCTACCCTTAACAGCCCGGCCAAGGTCAAGGAAGGAAAAAAATAAGCTGGCTTCCAGGTAAATGCTAATCCTGTTCACCTGTGTAAATAAAGTCTTGGTGGTGAGATTTTAGACTTTCAGTGAGCTTTTATAGATGATCATCAACCATTTATTCAGAAATATGCTTTTATAAATATTATAATGAGAATATTATAATTTTTCCTTTGAAAATAAAAGATGGTATTTATGCTTTGTTTATGCTTCATAATACCAAAAGATGGTGTTCTGCTTTTAGAGGGGAGAGGTGAATGGACTCAAGTGCATTGTATTATAAAAATGTAAAAATTTATCATAGTTTTACTTTTTCTTTGTTTTATGGTAGGTCATTTTTTTAATTGGGGTTATGATTTACTTGAAGTAAAATGTATACCTTTTAATGTACACTTTTATGGGGTTTTTAAAAAAGATTTACTTAGAGAGAGAGTGAGTGCCAGTAGGGGGAGGGGCAGAGGGAGAGGGAGAGAGAGAATCCCAAGCAGACTCCCAAGTTGAGCATTGGAGCCCAGTGTGAGGCCTGATCTCACAACCCTGAAATTACAACCTAAGCGAAAACCAAGAGTCTGTTGCTTAACCAACTGAGCCACCCAGGCTTATCTATGGTACACTTCTTTAGGTTTTGACAAACGTATCCAATCATATAAACACCACCACAATCACCAGTAATCATCCATTAAAAAAATTTCCTCATGCCTCCTTGTAAAGGAAACTCCTTCTATCATCCCTAATCCCTCCAACTACTGATCTGTTTTCTGTCCCCAGAGTTTCGCTTTTTCTAGAATGTCATATAGATGGAATCCTATGATATGTAGCCTTTTGACTCTGGCTTCTTTGATTTAACATGATGAATTTGAGATTCATGTTTATCCATATTGTTGAGTAATAGTTTGTTCTTTTTTATTGCTGAATAGTATTCCTTTGTAGGGATATACTACAGTGTGTCCATTCACCAACTGAAGGATATTGGGCCAGCTTCCACTTTTGGCAATTATGAATAAAGCCACCAGAAACATTCACTTACAGGTGTTTGTGTGAACATAAGTTTGCATTTCTCTTGGGTAAATACCCAAGAGTATATGTTTATAAGAAATTGCCAAAGTAGCTATTTCTGAAGTAATAATGTAAAATTTTTTAAAAAATCACTGTTTTTCAAAGTAGCAGCATGTGGTATTTTATATCCCAATTAGCAACATGTGATGGTTCCACTTACTTTACATTCTCTTGGTATTGTCAGTTTTTGTTGTTTATTTTAGTGTATTTGTCATTATTTTTGGATGAGTGCTAAAATTTTCAAAGATCGTTTGGATTAATGATTATATTGTATGTTTTTTGGAAACTGAGTTCCTTGATATAAACATCAGTAGGCAGTGGTTTTTGGTTGTTATTAGAAAATGTTTGACAGCAGCAAAAAGAAGTATATTCTGAATGTTCACTTAAAAAAAGAAGTGAACTAATTGCTCCTTCCTTTCACAGGGCTTGTCGATTAAAGAAAAAAGCCCAGTATGAAGCTAATAAAGTGAAATTATGGGGCCTCAACACAGAATATGGTAAACCTAAACTTTTAAGAATTTGATTAATCTCCTATTACTTTGCCAACCATTCTCTTTTTCTTTGGTTTTGTTATTTGCCTTCCCTGTATCCTGCCAAGTTTTAGGCCAGCCTCCTTTTTGTTCATTCATTCAGTAAGCTACATACTCACTCTTATTCATTCATGTTCTCCTTTTAGTGAGTGTCTGTATCTGTGGCTCCCCATGCCAGATCTCCTCTCTCTCCTGAAGAGCTTCTCTACTTGTGACCACAATAATCTCCTACTTCATTTTACAGTTATGTTGCTGTGTTAGCCAGTTTTAGTGACTAGTGTTTATTTTAATCTCTGAGTGGATAATTTAGATGTGTATTTTACAAATTTGGCTGCTCATTAGAATCATCTGTGTACATGCTAACATACAGATTTCTAGGCTTCTCCCCAGATCCAATGAATTGGAATCTGTGCAAGTAGAACTCAAGAGTCCATATTTTTAACATTACCCCCATATTACACTTAGGCAACTATCTTAGCACTTATTTGGTAACTGTTGGTTTAGCTCGGTACCGCCCAGTCTATCACAACATGGCACATGTAAAAATTATCGTCACCGAGGTTATCTTGGAATTTATCAGAGTAGGCTGCTCATGGGAAGGGAGGCCCCTGTGGGCTGAGAGGATTAGCATCTCAAACACCTGGAACCCTTTTACCGTACACTAGAGTGGGAAAAGCTGTGGTTTTGATCTTCTGTAATAAGAACCACCTTTCCTTTCCTCCTCGCTCTCTTACTATTCCTCCTCGCTCTCTTACTATTCCTTAAGCCTGGTGTCATAAGAGTTTGTATGTTCTTTTGCCTCTAAAATTGTCGTCTTCACTGTATAGCTCTTGGGCTAAGTTGTATCTGAAAGTGGATGAGTGGTAAAATGATAAGTTACTATTTGTTTCCAGAGACTTTCTGAAGTCCAGCACGACATCTGGCACATAAGTGCTCAGTAAACTTTGTGCAGTTTTCTTAATTTGTATCTTGATTATCTTGTTTCCATTTGTGAGGGCAGAAAGAGGATTTCCTATTGTGAAGTTTACAACTTGTGAAATGAGCTGATAGTTTTATATATTAATGGCCACTCAGGAACTCTCATCAGGTAAATGAATTAGGTAAAACAATAGTTGGTTTGTTGGAAAGGAAATCTACCCATTTTCCTATTATTCTTTCTTGCGGTTGAAGCGTTCGGACCTTGAGCTCTGTGAGTATATATACACATAATGATTACAATATCATATGCATTCATATTCTCTTTTAGAACCAGATGACTTGGGCTCTAGGGAGATGTGGTGGGCTATTGGGAGCCTTCTGGGTCTGTGTTTCCTTGGACAGTTGTAGGCATCTGTATGTGTTTTGTTCAGTTAACGTATTTATCCGTAATTATGTATATATGTATATCCATAATTATTTATAGTCAGATATTTTTGCATTTGTCTGCTAATGCACACCCCCCCACACATGCTTTGGTCTGTGATGTAAATATATTCTGGGTTAGGGAACACCTGGGACGTTGGTAATGGCCAGGAGTATGTGTGCTTCTGGATGTGTTCTATCTCAAATTGAGTTATGGTAGCTGTCTTAAATTTTTCTTGTTTCTAAAGCTGACTTAAAGAATCTTATATTTTCATGTAGGAAAAGGCCCATCTTTAAAAGGTACCATTTTCTTTCTCAATTAACATGAAGGAGGACAGGCTCTTACCATTCATTTATTTCTCTTCCACTTCTTTCTTACTAGTTTCTCTTCTCCAGTTTCTGGGAAAGAACAGCCAGCCTTAACTATTGGTTTAGAAGTAATTTCAAAACCTATGAGATGCTCTTGTGCAGTTTGCCATGTGTAGTTTGAAAAATCTTCCTAGAGTTTCTGGTACATTTCTCAAGAGAATGGTGTCCTCGATTCCTTGAAATATCTGTCAGATGGTCTGTTATTGTTTTGTGGAACACTTATTACCCACTACCCGCCTATTAACCCAGTAGTTTCTGGAATTTGTAACTCACAAGTCAGTGACATTTGAATACAAGGAGGGATGTTTTAGCACTAAAAAATTGAGACAAATAATCTCAAAATGAAATAAACTTTATGAAAAATTTACTCCATTATCCTTATCCTTTTTATTTATTTATATTCTGAAGGTCTTAGTTACTCTACATTATATGTTTTATACTACATACAATTAAGCACAACACAATACCCTGCCTTTCTAATCCCTTTATTTTAGGATTAAAGAGTTTGTATCCCTTAAGATGTTAAAATGGAATTTACCTGGCATTTAGAGGGTGAAGGATTAACAATATGTAAACACAGGAGTTAATGAATTCATCGTTTCTGCTAAAGATTAAGTGCCCAAGTAAATATAAAAGACCGCACTGAGAAGGGACATCCCTAAGACATCCCCAGTTGGAAAATGAACCAAGTCATGGAAACTGGGGTAACCCAAGAGCTACCAAAGAGCAAAAATTTTTAATTCTGATGAACTCCAGTTTGCCAGGCTTTCCTTTTATATTTCATAGTTTTAGTGTTCTTAAAAACTTTGCCAACTCCAAAATGCAAATACTTTTTTGTATGTTTTCTCTCAGAGTTCATATAGTTTTAGGTTTTACATTTAGGCTTATGATCCATTTTAGGTTAATTTTTATTTATGGTATATGTTGAGAATTGATGTTAATTTTTTTCCCATATGACTATCCAGTTGATCAAACACCATTCATTAAAAAGACCTTCCTTTTCCTGTTCAGTTGTTTTTTCCTTTGTCAAATCAGTTGACCCTAAACATGTGAGTCCACTTCTGGACTCTGTATTCTGTTCAACTGATCATTTGTCTACCTTTATGTGGGTACAAACTGTTTTGATTACTGTAGTTTTATAGTAAATCTTAGGTAAGTATAAGTTCTTGTTAGTCCTACAATTTTGTTTTTTCAGAGTTGCATTGGCTATGCTAGGTCATTTACATGACCATATACATTTTGGAATCACTCTTTACAAAAAAAGCTTAATGAAATTTGGATTGGGATTGCTTTCAATCTGTAGATCAATTTGGAGTGAATTACCATTTCAACAAAATGTAGTCTTCTAATCCATGAACTTGGTATTTCTTTACATTTGTTAATTCGCCTTTAATTTCTCTGTGCCTTGTTTCATAGTTTTCAGTATAGAATGCTTAACATCTTTTGTTAGATCTATTCCTGGGTGTTTTATATTTTTTGGTGCACTGTAATTGGAATTATTTTTGGAAATTTTATTTTTAAACTCTGCTGCTAATATATAAAATGGATTTTTGCATATTACTATTGTATCCCATTATCTTGCTTAATTTGTTTATTAGTTCCAGTGGTAGGTGTATAGATGCCCTGGATTTTCTGTTTAAGCAGTCATCATCTGCAAATAGGGATGGCTTTATTTCTTTTCTGATACTAATGCCTTTGCAAACAAGGCAATCACCATGTCCATCCAATGTCCTAGATATTACAATAAGGCAAGAAAAATAAATCCATCTTGGGTGTGGGGAACCTTTCACCTTAAAGTATGATGTTGGCAGTAGGCTTTTTTGTAAGATGAGATGCCCTCTATCACTTTAAGTTCTCCCCTTTTTTTTTGTAGTTTCATTTATCACAAATGGGTGTTGAATATTGTCATATGGTCTTTTTTGCATCTGTTGGGGCAGTCGTGTTCTCCTTTATTCGGGTAATATATCACATATTTACCTCTTAATATGGTAAATTAACTGGGATTTTTGAATATTAAACCAACCTTGCATTCTTGGAATAAACTCTACTTGGTTGTGATATATCGTCCTTTTTATATTAGAGTCTATTGAAAATATTCTATAAGATTCTGTTCTAAGACATTAAGTTGGATTTTGTGTTAATATTTTGTTAAGGATTTGTGTATCTGTATTCAAGAGGGATATTGGTCTGTGGTTTTCTTTTTTTTGTAATGTTTTTGTCAGGTTTTAGAATTTGGGCTATTTTGACCTTACAGAGTGAATTGAGCCATGATCTTTCCTCCTCTTTTTTGAAAAGTTTAATAAGATCAGTTTTATTCTTCATGTATATTTGATACAATTTTCTATTAAAACCCTTCTTTTAGGAATATTTTTGGATAAATTAATTCCTTTACTTGAAATAAGCTGTTCATATTTTTCATTTCTTCTTGTGTCAATTTTTTAAGTTGCATTTTCAAGGAATGTGACCATTTTTACCAAGTTGTTTAATTTGTTGACATAGCATTTTCTTACTATCTTTTCAATAGCTCTAGATTCTTAAGTGATAACCCCTTTTTCATTCCAGATATAGGTGATCAATCTATTTAGCTAGGGATGGGGGGGTGGGAGCAGATATCAATTTTGTTGCTATTTTTAGGGAACCACTTTTGGCTTTGTTAACTTTCTCTGTTGTATGTTTCTGCTGTTTTATTGATATCTGCTCTTTATGATTTACCTCTTTCTATTTACTTTTGGTTAACTCTCAAACTGGGGATAGTTTTTAAAGTTTTGTCTTTGGAGGACTTGAAGGACTTCATTTGATTTATTTAGTAAATATTTACTAAGATCCTGTGATTCATTATACAGGCACTATTATAGTTCTTAAAGCCATGAAGACAATAAAGTTGCTTACAGGATAGTAGACATTTATACATGTCTACAGTGTGTCATCAAAACCGGCACATCATTTGAAAAATGTTTGTTTGGATAAAAAAAAAAGCTTATAACTGAACTCTACATCTAAAACTAGTGGTGTACTATATGCTGGCTAATTGAATTTTTAAATTTTAAAAAAGCTTATAACCATAACTACTTAATATTTTCTTACAAGTTTTCCATTTTTAACTGAATAACTGTTATTACACAATAAAAAGAAAATTCTTCCATATTAGTGGCATGTTCCAAGTGTCTTGTTCTGTCTTCCAGATAATTTATTATTTGTAATCAACTCCATCAAGCAAGAGATTGTAAACCGAGTACAGAATCCAAGAGAGGAGAGAGGACCCAACATGGGGCAGAAGCTTGAAATGCTCATTAAGGATACTCTTGGTAAGAATATTGGATGAATTCCTAACAGTAACATGTGGTATAAGGTACATGATTTAAGGAGATATGAAACATTCTTTAAGGAAAAACTCAAATGTTCATAATTGTAGTTACTCTTCTTTACAAGTTGTTTTGTCTTTTGAGATTTTGCATTCATAAACGTATTGCTCGTTGCCCCGATTTGTTATTTAGACTTCATCGCTGGACTGTTTTAATACTTAGGAAAGATGAACTTCTAGCACCTTTAACCTTTTATGGGAAAAATAAAGATCCCTGAGCTGTCAAGCCTGCAATTTATATTTTGGTAGATGTTCTTACCTGTATGTTTTACTCAGTAATACAGTTCACAGGGTTCTAATAAACTTAATTATCTGTTTTTTCCCTGAATAGATTATATAACATGAGGAGGAACAGAGGCAGAGTACTACCTGACAGGGAGGGGAGAGGTAGCTAATATAGGAGAACTCTAGAGGTGCAAGAGCTTAGTTGCCATAAGAGCAGATCACCTTACAGATGAGTAGCATCCCAAGGACATTGTAGCATAATACAATCCATGAAAACCCTGAAGCATCATAAAATTGGCTCAGCTGTTTTATGTGTTTTATTTAGCAATATGTATTGTAGGATTGTCTTTGAAAACTGTTATGCAGTCATTGTGTAGAGTGGCAAACTTCAGTTACCTGAGAATTTTCTTCATTTTTCCCCAGTATGCTGTGTATTGAATCAGATCACTTAAAGGAATTAGAGCTTAGTTTTTAATAATTATTTAGTTTCTTACCTGAATTTTAGGGTAACGAACACCATAAATTGTTCTATTTTTTTTTTAAATTATAAATATCTTGGAATTTTTTTTTTTACATTTCTGTTAGGATGATTTTTCTTACTTCCAGTTACTATAAATTCATTCATCAAAGTTTCTCCAATGCCTACTATATGCCAGGTGTTGGGGAATACAGGGATGAATAATAGAGATTTGATCACTACTCTTAGGAAGCTTGTAGTCTAAAAATGGAAGGCAAAGAATAAACGGGAAAAAATAACGGATTGTGGCAATTGCTGTGAAGAAATCAAGATGTTTAGATGGAGTAGAGTGAGGAATAGTAGTTTATTTCTGTTAACAGAGAAATACTTCTCACGGCTACCAAGGTGATTGAATTTTCTTTAATAAAAAATAAATACACATTGAATGCTTCCATGTACTTCTTAGTAGGTTTCTCATGTCTTTGCAGTTACTAGCTTAGCATTGTGTTCATACTGCATATGAAATATTCTGGTGTTTTTGAAGGGCAATTCAGAATCATTAATAAAATTAGCAATGCATAAAGATTTTGACAAAACAGTTTAACGAATTGACAGCATTCATGTTTGAAGGCCAAAGGAGAAGATTTAAAGGAGAGATCAAGAGCCCGGAAAGGATTGCTTGAGTGTTAGGAAAGGATAAACAACTGAAATTTATGGGTATTTACTAAGATCCGGTACCTTTCTGTCAAGGTTGGTTAGTTATCGACTTTCACAGCTCTGTGAAGGAGGTATTATTATTATTCTGATTTTACAAATGAGGAATTAGAAACACGGGAAGGTCTTAAAGTAACTTGACATAAGTTATACAATCAATAAATGGCCGAACCAGGCATAGAATTAAGTTCTTTGAGTTCCAGTGTTCACACTGCCCCCACATGCCATCCCTTAGGCCTGTCATCTATCACCCATCCTGTGTAATAGTTGACCTGAGTAGTTCACGTGTGGCCTGCTAATCACTTCATCCTGTAGGCTTGCTTGAGAATTTCTTTTTCTTGACATTCTTTGTAACATTTGACACTTTTTTATCTTCATTATTGAAACATTTTCTTTATTGTAAGGTACCTTAGGTCTGCATGCCTTGTTTCCTGTCTTTTTACCAAAAAAGGCTAGGTTTCTCTGTGGTTCCAGCAGTAGCCACTGGTCTAAAAATTAAAATCGTGTTTAAAAAAAATAAAAGCTTGTTTATTGTAGTGGTTAAAATCAGAGTATTTGAAATCAGTTTGAGATTTAACTCTTGGCCCTGCTACTTACTACATTAGGACCCTAGGGAAATGACTTGACTTCCCTCAACCTCATTTTCTTCATCTGTAAAATATGAACAATGGGTGGATTAAATGGGAAGAGTGCATATAAACACTTAGCACCCTGCTAAGCACATAAATTCTCAATACTCAGTATTAGTTGTTACCATATTACATCTTCACCACTTAGATTTTTTTTAAGAGTTTTGTTTCCATCTTGTTCCTGTAATCCATCACTCATACTTTAGAAAATTAAAGATTTTGTTCATGACAGAGTCAGTTAAGATCATGACCTGGGCCAAAGGTAGAGGCTTAACCCACATCAGTACCCTGATGGAAACCCTGCATCAGGCTCTCTGTTCAGCAGGGAGCCTGCTTCCGCTTCTCTCTGCCTGCCTCTCTGCCTACTTATGATCTCTCTCTGTCAAATAAATAATCTTTTTTTAAAAGATTTTTTTTTGTTTTTAAATGTAAAGACCTTGTATGTTGATAAGTTTGTATATTCTCCTTACATACAAAAAAGTCAGTTTTACCAGATTCAAAATCCTTGACTTATATTTTCTTTATTTTAAATGATTTTCTGTTTTTCTTTTGGCATAAAATATTGCTATTAAAAAATTAATAATTCCCCCCCCCAAAAAAACCTAATAGTCGCCTTACTTTTTTTCCTTATAACTCATTTGCTATTTTTGCCAATGTCAGTAAGATTTTTTCTTTTTCTTTCATTCCCAGTAATTTTAGTAAACTTTGTCTTGGAGTTGTTCATTTTAGTTGATATTCTCATGGGTACACTGTGCTCTTTTAATAGGTAGTTCAGATCTTTTTAGTATTTGATCTGTTTCCTGGCTGTTTTTTTTTTTTTTTTTTAAGCTATGCGTGGACCCCACTGCAGGGCTTGAACTCACGACCCTGAGATCAAAACCTGAGCTGAGATCAAGAGTTGGGTGCTTAACTGACCCACCCAGGCACCCCTCCTTGCTTTGTTTTTGTTGTTGTTATTGTTGTTCTGGGACTTACTATTTGTGGGTGGGATCTTCTTTGCCTATCTTTAGTATTTTCTGAGGCAAGTTCACGTTTGGTCAATTTTTTTATCTCTTAATTTCTTTAAAGTTCTTTCTCCTTTGTACCCCTCCTTCTCTTAAAAGCATTATTGTTGTGTTTATTTGCTACTCTTATGTTTCTTTGGTTTTGTCTTTTTTTAATTATTTAAATTCAATTTAACATGTACTGTATTATTAGTCTCAGGCATAGAATTTAGAGACACAACTGATGCATCAAGTGTCCTCCTTAATGCCCATCACCCACTTAGCCCATCCCCCCACCTGCCTCCCCTCCAGCAACCCTCACTTTGTTTCCTAGAGTTCAGGGTCTCTTATGCTTTGCCTCCCTATCTTCATCTTATTTTATTTATCCTTTCCTTCCCCTATGTTCATCTGTTTTGTTTCTTAAATTCCACATATGAGTTGAAATCATATGGTATTTGTCTTTCTCTGACATTTTGCTTAGCATAATACTCTTTTTCCATCCACATCGTTAAAAATGGTAAGAGTTCATTCTTTTTTTTTTTTTTAAGATTTTATTTATTTATTTGACAGAGAGAGATCACAAGTAGGCAGAGAGGCAGGCAGAGGTGGCGGGGGGAAGCAGGCTCCCCGCTGAGCAGAGAGCCCGACGTGGGACTCGATCCCAGGACCCCGAGATCATGACCTGAGCCGAAGGCAGTGGCTTAACCCACTGAGCCACCCAGGCGCCCGAGTTCATTCTTTTTGATGGCTAAGTAATATTCCTGTGTGTGTGTGTGTGTGTCCCCACACTACATCTTCTTTATTCATTCATTCTTTTAGTTCATTTTGAAATTCATTGAGTTCTTTCTGAAATAATAGTGTGTTGTAACCATTTGGGATAATAGTGGGATATGGGTGTTTATAGTCATATCTTTCAGGCACACTTTCATTGTAGGAGTCTTCGCTTTTATCTTACAATAACCTGTTTTTAAAGATTTTTTTTTTATCCATTTGAAAGAGAACATGAGCAGGGGGTAGGAGCAGAGGGAGAGACTTCTCGCTGATCAGGAAACCCAATACGGGCTCGATCCCAGGACCCTAAGATCATGACCTGAGCCAAAGGCAGATACTTAACTGACTGAGCCACCCAGGCGCCCCACTTAAAATAACTTTTTATGGGATTTTTTATCTTAATACATGTAAAACTGTTTTTTCTAAACCTTGAAAAGAAAGTTTAGTTCACGACTGCTTTCCTAACTTCAGATTTTAGAGTCCTCTGTTTTCAGTTAATACAAAACTGTGTTTTGTATTCATTTATGAGATGGTCATTCAATCCAGCCTAAGGAAGGGACACAGCAGAAGAGCAGGAGAAAGTTTACCATAGAGAAACAAAGTGACCACATGCCACAGGGAGCCAAATGGAGGGAACAGTAAGGGAAAGGGTTTAACAAAGCAGGTAGGAAGGAGACAGAGCAAGTGGAAGAAAAACAAAGGAACCTGTGGGCAAGTGCCTTTGGCATTAGCAGTGATGTTCAAAAGCAGAAGGTGTGAGGGGATTTTGCTGGTACATGTGTATGTCCCTAGCCCACAGTCAAGTGGGGGCAAGAAGAAGAACCTGTGGCAGGGCAGGTGCACATGGCAGCTTGCTTTCTGAAATTTCTTGTTCTGTGCTCCTTTCCCATTTTATCCTGGCCATCTCTTTCTTTCATATTTGTTTTTCCTGTCTTGCCTAATTTTGATTCTTACCAGTCCTGCCTCCTGTACTGCAAGGGAGTCCTGGTTGGTCAGTTTTTAGTTCACAGAGCTAGACTGCTTTAGCCCCTCAACATCTTACTGTTGGCTTCTTACACTCCCCTTTTACTCACTGTTCATTTGGACCAATCTCTCACAATTTCAGCTGTTTTCTCATGTTGGTCTCCTGTGGGTTCCAGGGAGTAACCTGTTGGCTATGTTTGACTTCTTTTGTTCTCAGGTACATTAATCCCTTTGACTCATCCTACACCAATAGTGGTAATGTTAATGCCATACAGGTCTTGTAGCTTTTGGAAGTTTGTGTCCACCATTTTGAATTTTGGGGTTTATAGAGGTATGTTGTCACTCGATAATGTTTTCCATGGGTTGATGGTTTCTGTTTAATCTCTCTTTTTAAAATTTATTTGATAGAGATCACAAGTAGGCAGAGAGGTAGGCAGAGAGAGGGAAGCAGGCTCCCCGCTGAGCAGACAGCCTGATGTGGGACTCAATCCCAGGACCCTGAGATCATGACCTGAGCCGAAGGCAGAGGCTAAACCCACTGAGCCACCCAGGCACCCCTTAATCTCTGTTTTTATATGGGGCATTGGGGAGATTAAAAAATCTGTGCTGCCATACAGCAGTCTTTCCAGAACTTCCCTCTGGAGCACTTTACATAAATTGGAGTTTCTTTTTCTTAAAGATTTGGTAGAATACTCTTTGAAACTACCTGGTCCAGTGTGTTTTTTTGATTAACTCTTTGAAAACTTTCTCTGTGTCCTCTATGATAATTTGTATGTCAGATTACAAGCTCTTCTGAAGTCTGTTTGATTAGTTTGTATATTCTTAGAAAATTATCCACTTCCTCCATGACCTCAAATTTATTAAAATTGTCTTTGTTTTTTAATAGCCTCTATATCAGTGGCTAGTGCTTCATTTTCATTTCTTACTTTATGTCTACTGTGTTTGTCTTCACTTCTTGAATTGGTTAATTATAGGTCGTTCTACTTTCCCTCCAAAGAACCCGCTCTTGAATTCATCAGTTCTTCTAATTTCTTAAGTTAGATGCTTCATTCACTTCTTTTTTATTCTTTGTTGTTCATTGATAATAATAAAAACCTTGGAAATTTCTCCCTAGAGCTGCCGTAGCTATTTTCATAAATTCTGATATGTCATATTTGTTTTCTAAATAATATGGAATTTTAAGTTTGATTTATTCTGTGGCCCAAGAATTGAGAGAGATTTAAAATTTTCCTGATGGTAGACATTATCATTTTCTAGTTTTGTTACTAACTTTTCTTTTTTTTTTTTTTTGTGATTCAGATTTTTTTAGCTACCTAACATGGTTACATTTATTTACATTGTTATGTTTATTACAACCTAATTAACCATTCTGTGGACATTTAAAAAGTATATATATTTTCTGTTTTATGTTAAGACTCCATTATATGTTGATTAGGTAATCTTAGTTAGGTCTTTTTTTCCTTTTAATTTTTATAGAAGGTGTCCATTTACTCTATGTAAAACTGAGAAAGGTCCCTGCTAATGTGTTTCGGTTTTTTCTCATATTTTCTGTGGTTTTATTTGAATGATGGAGTGCTTGAATAGGATTCCTTACTGCTAGGTCTTCATTATGGATTATAATCTCTGTCATCATGAAGCATACTTCTTTGGTCTTGTTTATAACTTTTTCTCTGAATTCAGTTCTGATACTGCAATCACGAATCTAGATTTCTTATTATTTATATATCCTTAGTGTACCTTTGCCTACCCTTTAATTTTCAGTCTTTCTGAATCACTTTATACTAGATACATCTTTTTTTTTAATTTTTTATTTCTTTTCAGTGTAACAGTATTCATTGTTTTTGCACCACACCCAGTGCTCCATGCAGTCCGTGCCCTCTCTAATACCCACCACCTGGTTCCCCCAACCTCCCACCCCCCCGCCCCTTCAAAACCCTCAGATTGTTTTTCAGAGTCCATAGTCTCTCATGGTTCACCTCCCCTTCCAATTTCCCTCAACTCCTTTCTATTCTCCATCTCCCCTTGTCCTCCATGCTATTTGTTATGCTCCACAAATAAGGGAAACCGTATGATAATTGACTCTCTCTGCTTGACTTATTTCACTCAGCATAATCTCTTCCAGTCCCGTCCATGTTGCTACAAAAGTTGGGTATTCATCCTTTCTGATGGAGGCATAATACTCCATAGTGTATATGGACCACATCTTCCTTATCCATTCATCCGTTGAAGGATATCTTGGTTCTTTCCACAGTTTGGCAACTGTGGCCATTGCTGCTATAAACATTGGGGTACAGATGGCCCTTCTTTTCACTACATCTGTATCTTTGGGGTAAATACCCAGTAGTGCAATTGCAGGGTCATAGGGAAGCTCTGTTTTTAATTTCTTGAGGAATCTCCACACTGTTTTCCAAAGTGGCTGCACCAACTTGCATTCCCACCAACAGTGTAAGAGGGTTCCCCTTTCTCCACATCCTCTCCAACACACGTTGTTTCCTGTCTTGCTAATTTTGGCCATTCTAACTGGTGTAAGGTGGTATCTCAATGTGGTTTTAATTTGAATCTCCCTGATGGCTAGTGATGATGAACATATTTTCATGTGTCTGATAGCCATTTGTATGTCTTCATTGGAGAAGTGTCTGTTCATATCTTCTGCCCATTTTTTTATGATTGTCTGTTTTGTGTGTGTTGAGTTTGAGGAGTTCTTTATAGATCCTGGATATATACATCTCTTTTAAAAATATTCAAGTTGGGGTGCCTGGGTGGCTCAGTGGGTTAAAGCCTCTGCCTTCAGCTCAGGTCATGATCCCAGGGTCCTGGGATGGAGCCCCACATGGGGCTCTCTGCTCAGCAGGGAGCCTGCTTCCTCCTCTCCCTCTCTGCTTGCCTCTCTGCCTGCTTGTGATCTCTGTCTGTCAAATAAATAAAATCTTAAAAAAAAAATTAGAAGGACTGAAAGGTCCAGCTCTAACATACATAATCTTGGGTGGTTTCTTTAGTGGAGAACTGTGAAATCATTCCAAATGTTAGAGAAGAACATTCAATGCCTGGAGAAATGTTTATAAGTCAATAAGTGAAATGTTTCAGAACACTAGACAGAATAAGTCCCTATTTGTGAAAAAAAAAAATTATTAAAAAAACATTTAAGTTAAAATTTAATTTTGATAAGTACAGCATAAAATTCACTTCTGGATTTTTATACATAGCATAAAGTTGGATTTTATTTGTTAGACTGGGAGTTTTTCTTCAATAGGTGAGTTTAGGTCATTTTTTATTTATTGGTACATGTTTGATTTTAGTTTTGTCATCAAAAGCTGTTAGGCTTTGTTGATATGGCTTTTTCCTTTTTATGTCATTCACTGTATGATCCATTATTATAGTTGCAGTTTTTATGTGTTCTCTGATAATTTTTAAGCTCTTCATTTTTGACCTGTGAGTTGAATTTTTAACTAAAACACAACATATATATTTAATATTTTTCCCTTTTCATTTGAGACTTCAATCCTATAAGAAAAGTAGAAATGGTATATGAACGTCTGCTTATCATTCAGCTAGATTCACCAGTTGTTAATATTTTGCTACATTTTTTTTTAAAGATTTTATTTATTTATTTGTCAGGGACAGAGGGAGAGAGAGCAAGCACAGGCAGACAGAGAGGCAGGCAGAGGCAGAGGGAGAAGCAGGCTCCCTGCCGAGCAAGTAGCCCAATGTGGGACTCGATCCCAGGACACTGGGATCATGACCTGAGCCGAAGGCAGCCGCTTAACCAACTGAGCCACCCAGGCGTCCCTACATTTGTTTTATTTTTGTCTGTATCTACATGTTTTTCTTCTTAAGTATTTGAAGGTAACTTCTAAACAAATTCGTCATCCCTAACTAGTTCAGCATGTGTTTCTTAAGAACAAGGACATTTTCTTACTTGGGTACAATACCAGTATCACACCCAAGTACTTCAACACTATTAAAATATCTGTATGGAGTCCATATTTAAACTTCCCCAGTTGTCTCAATAATGTCCTTTATAGCCTTTGTGTTTGTTTGTTAAGGATCATGCATTGCATTTATTTATATCTTTTTGCCCTCTTGAATCTAGATCAGTCTACAAGCCCCCCCCTTTTTTTTCCCCATGAAAAATTCAGGTAGTTGGTCTTGTAAAATGTCCCAACATCTGGGGTTGTCTGTTTCCTCCTAACTAAATGCAGTTAAATTTTCTTGGCAAGAATCATCATAGGTGATTATTATTTTCAATCCATCACTCAGGAGGTACATACTATCAAGTTTGTCCCATTATTAGTCACGCTGCATTTAATCACATGGCTCAGAGAGCATCAGTACTTTGTTTCTTACAGTATCTTTTGACTTCTTCCTATGAGCAATGATGAGACATTTTTCTCTTTCCATCTCATTTTAATCATTTATGTCCTCATTACCTTTAAAACATGCTTATACCTTTGTTATTTAACTTACTGATCTGAAGTATCTTTTGACCTCAGCTGTAGAAGATAAGGAAGATGAAAAATTCAAATTACACTATTTCCCACCTTTTCCCCCCTCTTCTCTTCCGCCTTTGTTTATTCATTCACTTTTCTTTAAAATGAAGAAAAGGAAACCTAGAAAACATACATCAAGTCAGTGTTTTCAGTTGTGTGGATAAAGCCCACCCATGGGACGCACTGAGGCTGGAGCAGTCGGAAGAGACTGGCTTACAGAACAGGGCGGATGTGGTCAGTTGGGGAACGACGCTTGTTGACAGCTCGGGGGTTTTTGGGTTTGGACTGTTGTTTGGACTGTTGCTGCCTGTCATCTACCACGCTTTAAAATGTTGATTAACCATTCTTCATTCCTGGCTTGACCTTTCTAATCTAAAAATTGCAAGCTCTAATCTGGTGAGTAGAATTAATTTCTGGGTTGCAGTAGCAAGCCGCTGAGTACTTGGCTGGGACCAGTATCAAGCTGGGGGCCACCCCTGACCCTCAGATCTGCCTACTTCTCACCTTCCTTTTATGCCCTCTCCATTTCTGTGCCTAAGTGTGCTGCCTTTCTTTTTTCTCAGGTCTCCCAGTCGCTGGGCAAACCTCCGAATTTGTTAACCAAGTGTTAGAGAAGACTGCGGAAGGCAATCCCACTGGAGGCCTTGTAGGACTAAGGATACCAACATCAAAAGTGTAATCAGCCTCATTGGACCACTGGTCAGAAATGTCTGTGTTTGTCACGTTATTCATTGTAAATTTTCATTCTGTTTTGCATGTGAGTTTAGCATTATGTAAACATTTATGATTAGGTTACATTGTTTTAAGAACTAAGTAGCATAAGTGAAGCATGATCCAAAATACTTGATTATTGCATTTTCAGAGCATAAACCATGGTTAAAACTGCTACTGTCATCAAAATCGAAACTCAAACATTTAAGTAAATGTTTAGATACAGATTGCAAAAATCTGTTAAAGTAAAATGTTTGGGAGGAGTGAAGACATTAGTAAAAGCCAAATATTGTGGCAGGTTTATGCTCTGAACAACACAAAAAAATTGAGGAAGCATTTTTTTAAACAGTCAGTTTAGATTGTTTTTAGAATTATTCCTTTTGTTCTAATTTTCCACAAACATTAATCTCACTTGTACATGGCACAACCCAGCACTCATGCCCATGTGCCATATTAGAAGTTCATTTTCTGAGCTCAATATGGTATATATAAATATATATAAATATATATATAATGTCTGTGCAAGTAAGAAAAAAAGCATATTCTTTGTGCCTTGTATTTTGGGGAAACTATACAACTGGTAATATTTTGTATGATGAAAACCCTAATGAGGAAACACAAGATATATAGATGGAAAAATTATGGGGTTTAAATGTTTTTTTTGTTCCAACTCTTTTTCAGATTTTTTGAATGTATATAGGACTATGTTGAAATGTAGATATATGCCACAGAGTCTGTGTATTGTATAAAAAACAAAACAAAAAACAAACAAAAAAAAGATGGCTCTAGAAAACTCATATTTCGGTACTTGACCGGAAGAAGACAAATACTTGCACATTATTGCGATTGTTTTATTTTTTGTACCAAAGACAAATGCAACTGATATGGCAAACTGCCAGTCTAAGTAAAGTTTTGCACAGCTTACATGATACTGTATGAATGTATGAAAAAAAGGAGAAAAAAAAAAGAAAAATGAAAAGGTCAGGGTTAGGGATCTTACTGAACTGTGAATTTTATTTCTGTTTGGGTCCAATTATCTACAGAAGGAGCATCCACACACACAAATATTATTTTGCTGTTCCTCTAGTTCGCTTCCATAGTAGATAAGTTGGTGGCCATTTAGATGTCTGTAAGTCTTTTTATTTCTGCACTTAATTGTAGGAAATTTTAATATATTTCATTTTAGTAAGCTATTGGTAAAATAGTTTTTGACCTTGAAAATTAAAACGTTTATTTAGCTTATTGTAGTATACTTCCACCAAACAACCAAAATACAGATTATTTTTATTGTATTATGTATATATATATATGTAAAGAAAGAAAAAAGCTAAAAATATCTAATTCTTTAGTTGCCACTTTTCCAATTGATGTATTATTGTGCATGTAATATTTTCAAAGATCAACACAAGCTTAAAACAAAAACAAAAACGATTTATAGATTTTTATATTTTTGTACAGGTATTTTCAAACTAGCTTCTTCAAACTTACATGTGACTTATTCTTCTTCTATAGTTTCTAGAACTGAGAAATATTAACACATTTAGTTTTTAGGTGCTCTTTTTTGCTCACATAAAACAGCTTCAGTAGTCAGTGTTTTAACTGTGTTAAAGCTTTACCTCTGATGAGAAATTTTTTGCGTCAAGGCAGCATTATAAACCTTCCCCACAGATCTTCCCATTCTGTCTCTCTTACTGTTTGATCCTCAGATCTTGTGTTTTGAACTCTGAAAACTGGTGGCTTAAAAACTATACTTTAAAAAAGATCCTATCTAGCCAGAAAAAAATACCAAAAATTTCAGACCTAGCTGCTGGGAAATTACCTGTTTCTCCAACTGTTTCTCCATTACCCCCTGGAGAATTTATTCTTTAATTATATTTTGTCTTTATAGTGTGTTTTCTTTTCTTCTACTTTATCCCTTCTCCCCCACTCCCCTACTTGTAAGCCTAGCATATGAAGCTATAGCTTATAAAGTTTGATTCTAAAACACAGTAACAACTGAACAATGTTGCTTATATGCTTCTTTGACATCATGAAAAGGAAACTTCTAGAAGGATTGTCTTAACACCTTAGCTGAACTGTGATGCACAAGATTTTCCTGTGTGCTTGGTGGAAATGTACCTGGTTAGTGCATTCATGCTGAACAGATGATAAGCTCAGAGCTAATGGTTTAAAAGAATGTAAGCTCATGTTTAAAGTTTTTCCTTTTTAGATGGGAGAAGGCAAAGCACAGGCTTATAAATTGGAAGTATATGAAGTTTTGACAGAGTGTGTTTAGTAAATTGAAACATGTCCCAAAATGTGGCAGTTTTGCAATCAGGTGAAAATCACTTCATGATAGAGATTCAGCTGATGAGGTTTATAAAATTGCCCCTTTCTAGCTGCTCTGTTAGGAATTCTGGTTTTTGATACTTTTTTCCTGTCTGCAAACCAGAATTTGATTTTTTGGTCTTGCATTTCAAAAAAAAAAAAAGACTTTGAATCTGTTTAGTAGATTCCATATCCTTGCATTTCAGTGTTTTATATGTACTACTTAAGTTAAATAGTTAAAAGCTTTTAAATAGTTGAGCTTTTTAATGTTGACACTTTATTTTGTACCTATTTATATATGTATGTATATCTTAGAAAAGCACTTTGTTAAAAAAAATTGCATTTTATATGATTCCTGCCATTTGCTGCTAAATCTGGGCTGGTCAGAATGCTGCAGCGATACTTGATCTAAATAAAAACCTGGCAGTAAAATGTAGAGTGAAAGTTAAATCCTCTTGCTGTTTTAACTTTATCATCAAGATGACATAGGCAAGCTGTGCAGCTTTACATTTTAACCAGGGGACTCTGTGGCATTTAAAACCGTCTAGAAATGGTTGTACTTTAATGCCAGTAATAATCTGCTTCCTCTATTGTCATTAAAATATATACGTTTAGTGTATCACACAAACAAATCTTATAAGGGTAACGTAAAAACCCCAACAATTGTACATGTTCTGTTTTTGAAAATTGTGGCATGTATTTTTGGGTGAAGATCATTAGAGAAGAGCTCTCTAAAGGTTTTCTGTGTTCATACATGGTATACAGATAGCTCATAATGAAGTCCAGAATCTTACTTTAAGTGAAGGCATTGTGAATTCACCTCAAATAAACCCATTGTTCCAAAAGCAATTATAAACTTTGACTCTAGTACTACTATGATTGAAAAAAAAAAAAACAAAAAACGTTCTTCCTCATTTCAGATACACTGGATTCTTTATAGAGTTTGTCTCCATATGAAAGCATGCTGTCCAGTTGTTCTTGTTAAGATCTTGTCTGAGTTTTGAATTGGGCGCCACACTTTTTCAGTCAATATGATTGCTTGTTCTACTGTACCATGTATGATTCTTGTCCTTTCCTATATCCTTCATGACAGATTATGATGTGGCTTTATATTGTGCCTTACTTGTACATTTAAACTTAACGTCTTCATTCCCTTCCAATTCCTATACCGTTCACTTTGACCTTTTTGGTAAGAGAATCAGAGCAATTATAAAAACATCATGAAGGATTTCAGATGGGTATGGTTTCCAATTCCCTCTCTTTATAGTTATTTTATATTTGTATGAAAGACCAGTTTTGAATGGTCTTTAAACCAGAGAGGGAAAGACTAGCAGTCATTTCACTACATCCCTTGTTTCTGACTTTCATGAATTTGTCCGACATCTTCTTTCTGATGCTTGACTTGATTTGCTTCTTAGCAATAGTCTGCATTTAAAGAAAGGTGTGTTCAGTCCATCAGCTTGAAATTGACTATTTCATCTTTCCAGAATTTTTTAGGAGAAGAATACCCGTTTTGTTTGTTTTATAAAACAGATGACAAGTCTCTTTAAAAGAAACAGAAGTACAGTACTTTTGAAATACAATGCTGTTAGTTTGGATTTCTTTTTTTATATATAATATTCATACAATTATCTGATGTTTGCCTTCATTAATAAAGCTGTTAGTTTATTCACCAAAATGTCAAGAATGGATGTGCTTTTCTTTATTCCATAGATTTAAAAATATTTTAGCTGCTAAGATTTAGTTAACTTTCTAAGAAACAAATTCAAGTTGCCTTCAGCAGGAATTAACAAAAGCTTATGTTCCCTTTCTTTATATAGTCTTCCTACAATTCTGTTCAAGTATTTTCTAATTAATTATGTAAGAGAATGTTAGCATCTCTCCAAATCTTGAAACTTGAATTTTGAGAATGCATTGAATTATGCTTTCAGTGTTAAAGTAAAAGGTTTCAATTATCCTTCTAGTGAAGTCTATTGTGGAATACCATTTCCCATGGAACTGAGGCCATTTCCACAACTTTGCACAGAACTGCAGTCTTGTTCTTCCCTTGGATCATGACAAGTCTCACACAGTGCCGTAATACTTGTGGATTCTTTTGTAATCTTTGTAATCTTAATAAGGGCATTATGAGAAGATGACTCCATGTTTTTTTAATATTCAAACACATTGGGATGTAACAATGAATGTCAACTGTAGGAATGGTTGTTTCGTTTTAAGGAATAAGTATGTTGGGGAAAGATGATGAAAACGTACTACTGACAGTTTTACACTTCCATAGGCAAGTGGGATTATGTGTTGAAGCATAATCCTCGTGCTTAGTAAACTGACCGAAAATTGTAGAAATTACACGTAGGAACTGAATTATGCCAAATTGCCATTTTTCTTTAGAAAAGAGAGGTTAGGGTGTAGTAGTGAGGGAGTAGAACCTTAAAACTACTTCCAAGTAATATTCTGGAATTGAAGACTTGGTGACTAGTGAAGAACATCAGAGTTGGGTATTTCAGTGTGCCAAGTGTGGGTGAACTAGATTTGCCTCTTTCATAACAATGTAAACACAATGGTGTAGTTAATTAAATTCTGGGCGGATGGGAGCGGGACTGATTACTGTGTCTTGCCCTTCGCCCTGTGTTTTTTTCGGAACCAAATAACAGAAGTGTGTATGTGTGTACTGTATCTGCCTTTCCACCACATTTTTATGACACTGTATTCCACTGCCTGCTTTTTTTTTTTTTTACCTTCTTTCCCTAGGATTTGTCCTATATCTTAGCATTTGTGATTAACAATGATACTAGGGCTGACCGCACATAAGAAGTCACAAGAGAAGAGCGGAAGGGCAAGAATTCAGAGCATTTGTTCATATAATGTGGCAACCTCTTTTGCATAGTGGCGTAGGATCCTGTTTGTAATGCTATCATAAATATTCTGTAGTTTTGTTTCCCCATTCCCCCAACTGGAGCTATGAAACTTTTTATTGGATTCAGTCTTGTCTTTTGTCTAGAAAGAATTTTATCTTGTTGACGCATGAGCTGTTTAAAAATTATTCTATTAAATGTTGGTTAATAGTTGTGCAGTTTTTCTTTTCAGAAGAAAAGGCAATTCAAATGTTGCCTTTGTTTTCTGTCACCTTCCAACCCCTCAGCACTTCTAGTCAGATACAGATTCATCAGTGTATGCAACATCCTTTGTAATTTAAAATAAAAAAAGATGAAAAGGTTTTGAATTGTTTGCCTCATGTTTTCTCCCTTTCTCTGTTGCTTTTCTGTCGCTTACCAAGGTAACCATCTGCTTTTCTGCAAGATAATCCACTGCAAAGAAATTCCAGACTAAAGACAAACATGAGCTGTGGCTTGTGGTGCCCCTCTCCTGGTGTAGGGCATAAGAACTAACATTCTGGATACTTTGGGCTGATTTTTCAGTACTCTAGTGAAATGTAGCTATTATGGAGAATTACTTATTGATGAAAACATTTGCATTCTTCATAGTTTGGAGCACAGTTTAGTTTACACGTATTTTTTCCTCTTTGATTCTTTGGGTAAGCAAGGGAGATAAACTGTTTTGAGTCTCTCTTCATTTGTTATGTGTTTAATAATTCATAGTAAGTCTCTGAGATAGGCTGGGCATATACACAATCTTTTTTTTTCTTCAAGATTTTATTTATTCGAGAGAGAGAGCACAAGCAGGGGAAGGGGCAGAGGGAGAAGCAGTCTCCCCCACTGAGCAGGGAGCCTGGGATCCTGGGATCATGACCTGAGCTGAAGGCAGACGGTTAACCAACTGAGCCACGCAGGTGTCTCCATATACATAAAGTCTTATGTCAGGGGACCTGAGTGAACACCACTGAACAGTGTGTTCCTTCAAATGCTAAACATTTGTTTAGCATATACTCTGCCAAGACGTGTGCTAGGCATTGGACTATAAGGAGATTAGAGAGAGATCCAGGAGCTCCGAGTTTGCTGAGGGGAGACAGCATGTGAATAAGACAAGAGCTGTCTTATACATGCAGAGGGTTCTGGGTATATTATTGCCGAGATACTTGCAAGGACACAGGAACCACATCCGGTAGGGTATAAAAGAGAAGAATTGACAGGCTTGTGTGCATGACATCCCAGGATTCTTGAAGTTCTTTTTGCTTCATTCAGGTGACACTGGGGCTGTCAGAAAGCAAATTGGAGATAACCTCTCATGGACTTGACCTCCGTCAAGACCACTCCTCACAGGAGTCTCCGTCATGGTCTGGGAACTTTTAAGGAGCTGAGTGAGCCGGGTCAGTATAGTCCTTAGGAAACAACATTTTGTGGGTAGCACCCAGTTCAATGGGTCATTCACTTGCCCCTCCTTTCAGAACCAGAAGAGCCCTTTAGCCAGAAAGACATAAAGTTGGGAAATGTTTTAATATCCCAGCTGAAAGATTTATAATGAGGAAGGGGTGTTAGGAAGTCTAGAAGGCTAGGGTGGCTGGCATTCATGACACCCCCTAGGTGCTTTTCTGTCAACGGTGCATTGAGGTGGATGGCCATGTCCATTTTACAAAAGAGAATAGACTCAGATAAGGGGACTCACCTCAGACCCAGCTTATATGATAGCCCCAATTCAAACTCCAGTCTGCTCCTGTACTCAGAGACAATTCATACTCCTAAAGGACCAGGCCAGGTCACAGGTAATATTTGCATGGATATCTGTGTATGAAGGAGATAATAGGCTTAGAATCTGAAACAGAACTCAAGCCAAAAACTAGCAGATGTAGTAACCAAAAGCTCATCTCAGGATCTGAGGGTAAAGGTGATAGAAGCAAAGTAACATTGGCAATAAGTCGGAGTGTGGGTCACCACATTGTACATCTATTCCTCAAAGATGGCCTCTAGCTTGAGGGCTTAGAATTGGGTCTGTTTGTTAGAAGGGAGCATGTTGGAGGGTGGAGAAAAAAGGAGCTATGTTTTTTTCTTTAACTACTGCAGAAAAACTGCGTGGAAACTGTCAGCTACATAGGAATTTCCAGCAAGAAGCCAGATGTGAAAGGGGCCCAAGGTCATGTGTCTAAATAGGGAGCTTCCATCTGAGGATCCAAAACTTTTGAGTGACCTGAAAAATGTCCGTTTCTTGAAAAAATTTTAGTCTTAAAACATCACCAGAAATGAACTTAAAATGTACAAGGTCTAGATAAAGAAAACTTTAACATGAAGGACACAGAAGAAGACATGAACAAATGGAAAAAAAGACCCAAGTTCTTGAACCAGAGCAGCCAACAACATGAAGCTGTCAGTCTTCAAAATTATATTAAAAATGTAATGCTATCTCAAAAAATATAAATGAGGTTAAAAAAAAACCATAAAGTTCATAGGGGAAAAAATAATTGGGAGATGCTGGGAGGAGAAAAAGATTGGGCATTTAAACCAAACACATGAAAACACATAAAACTATAAACTGTCATTTTGGTCCATAAATAGGCCAACAGAACAGAATGGAAGGTTTAGAAATAGATTAAAATGTAAGAATTTATTATGGTAGATGTAGCCTCCGGAACCAGTGAGAAAAAGATGGATTCCTCAGAAAACAGGGTTGGAACAACTAGGAAACTCTGGAAAAGAAAAGTTGGCTCTGTATCTCACACAGTAAGCCAGTATGTATCTCAAAATGTATAAATGAACAAATAACAGAAGGAAATGTGGGCAATTCCTTTAAAACCCATGGGGTGGGGATGGGGAGGCCTTTCTAACTTGGATCCCAAATCCAGGAGTCATAAATGAAGATCAACAAATTCTATGTGAAATAAAAATTTAAAAAGCTTCTTTAAGGCCAAAACCATCATAAGGCAAGTCGAAATTCTATAGTCTATGCAAAAAGCTAAGGGCTAATCCTCCTACTATATAAAGAGCTTCTGGAAACTGGTATGAAAAAGAACAACCACACAGTAGAGAAGTGAGCAAAGTAAATACAAAGAGCACTCAATCTCATTCATGATAAAAGAAATGCAAATTTTAAAAATCTTAGTATTTGTTAACACAGCACGTTGGCGGGAAAGCAGGCATTTGTACCACACTGCTGTGGGAGTATAAATGGATATAAACGGTCTGAAGAGCAATTTGGTAGTATGTATCCAAATTTTAAAATGCACATATCTTTCGACTAGCACTTTCTGCACTGGGCAAGTCATTCTCTCTGTGCTGTTTCTTCACGTGTAAAATGTGGATAATTCTACCTCATACGTTTGTCATGGGAGTTCAGTTCGATGACACACATTAAGAACCTAGCACAAAGTGCCTGGCACATAGGCAGCGTTCCAAAAATGTCAGTAATGTCATAGCAGCTAATGCCCATTGAGTTCTTAAACACATGCCACGCTGCTGCACTATGCTTGGCGCTCTTCATGTACTACCTTATTTAATCCTCCAGACAACCCTGTGATTACCACCAGTTAGCGTGCGGAGGATTCGGAGGCACAGAGATGTGAAGTGGGTCGTCCAGCAGGAGTCAAGCAGGGTTGACTCCCAAGCCTGCGATACCGTGCCTGATAGGTGCGGTGGGATGATGAACACCTTAAGGGGCAGTGTGGAACGATGGAGAAACAGATGGGCAAGCTACATAGCCCCGTGTGTGCAACACTACCCAAGGAGCTATATTTGGTTTTTGAGAGAAGACATGGCTTTCAGTGAAGGCTCTGCCACGTTCAAGTTAGGTAACCATGGGGCAGGGGTGCTCAGTTTTGATTTTGCTGAGATCTACTCTTCGTCCATCTACTGAGCTGTAAAACTGGGGCATTGCCTATTTCAGCTGTGGCTGAAGGATTAAGAGAAATACACAGCTAGGCATTCAGATCTTCGTAATTTATGCTTGCTGATGTGAACAAAAGTACATGGGGGTAGGAGCGAGAGGGGGGAAGCCTTCTAAGAAAAGGGAACAGCACATTCCAAAGCTACAGATCCAAAAAGAGCTTGAGGAATCCAGGAGAGGGATGGGCTGAGGAGCTCACGGCCTTGAAGACCAGCTGAGAAACTTGGGACTATTTAATAATAAAAGTGAAACAAAAGAGCCACCATTTGTTGAGGGTCTGCTGTTAATTATTTCCATCAAAACTACTCCAGCGAAGTAGATTTAATAAATCCACCTGTACACAAAAAGAAACTACCAGGAGCCATAGAAGAGGTATAGGCAGGGAGGTGGCTTGATCAGTTGTGATTTTAGAACCCTTGGACCAAGTGTTGAACTGGCAGGGGTGCTTTAAGAGACCTGCCTTAAATTCCATACATTTGAAGTAGTAATACCATTTTTCATTTTTTTTTATTCGCTTCACAATTTATATTCACTGTACAACATATGAAAAATGCAAGAAAATTTAAAGAAATATAAAAAATTGTTAACTCCTCCTTCCAGAGACATCCCAATTGATATTTTCCTTCCAGTCTTTTTTTTTCCTCATTATGAAAAAATATGGAGTCATTAGAATGGCTCTTAGATAGAAGATGGGGAAGAGCCACTGTTAAAACGCCCTTGATACTCCCTCTCTTCTTCTCCGTTTTCCTAGGACCACGCCAAGAGGCCAAGCTGAATCCATCCCGAGTTTTCACGGAAAAACCCCTGGACTTACCGCCTGGACCCTCGCTCGCCTCAGGCCGGTCTCTAGAGGGCGCTGCCGAAAGACCGCACGCGAAGGAACGCGACGCGAAACGCGCATAAATTTGGGCACCGCCGCTGCCCGTCGCTGGCGTCCTCAACATGGCGGCCCCGCAAGATGTCCACGTCCGTATCTGTAACCAAGAGATTGTCAAATTCGACCTGGAGGTGAAGGCGCTTATCCAGGTACTAATTCCCGAGACCCCTGCCGGGCTCCAGCGTCCCTAAACCCAGGCTCCTGTGGCCTCCTATGAACTCGGTGGTCTGCCTCCCGATCTTTAACCACTTGGTCAAGTCTCTGAGGTCGTTGGTCCCGCCCCACGGCCGGCTACCTCGTTGTGGTGCCCCTTTGGTCCCGTCTCCTTGACCGTTGGCCCTGTTCCTCCCTTCACTTGCTGTTGTCTTGTCCTGTCTGGACAGTCCCATGTTCCCCGGCCCCTGACCAGGCTTCCCCTTTGTGGCCCCCATTGGCCGCCCCCTCACACACTTCTCTGCGGGGACCTCCACACAACATACCTGCCACCCTGGTAGACCCCGCCTTCTGACACCAACTTCCCCACCATTTGGTGGCGTCCTGGGAGCCATTAGCCCCACCCCTTCCTGGCCAGC